CGGCGGCTGCAGGTTTACACTGTTGCTTTAAGATCTGACGCATAGATCAAATATTTTGACACATTCATATTTCTCCAAACTGTTCAAGTTCACTTAAGACAAAACCGACTGCATTTACATGAATAGTCTCCAAGACGGGCATTTTGACATAACTTTTCGTGTAAGTGTGTAGCAATAACAACAGAACTTAAGAGAACGTAAGCGAAAGAACTCGGCATTCGCACGCTGACTGAGAGGCGCGTTATTCTGTGAGCACGCTTTCGATGTGTGAGTACAGAAACCCGTCGGCTTTCAAGTACTGGACAACACTTAAAAGCACATGCAAATACTGAATATCACTTTCATGATAATGCATAATGCATCGAGTCGAATGACATTTCCGTCAACTGTCCCTGTACTCGGTTGGACTCGGACATATATTCCGAGTCGGCTCGAGTCCGAGTCAAGTCCGAGTAAAAATGCATCTGAGTCCGTGACAAGTCCGAGTCCTTTAAAAAAAACTGGACTGGAGACCGGACTCGAGTCCGAGTACCCCAACTCTACAAACTCACAAACCAAATGAATGCTTAGACAATTTTACCTTCCTGTGTATGTGAAACACCTTGAAGAGTAAAACAGTATTCAGCAGGAATGACACAACCAGGAGTCCAGAACATGTTTTAATGGTAGCTTGGAAACAAAAAAATAAAATGTCGGTTTTCATAAAGATTTGTGGGAAGAGAGAAGACTTGAAAGCAAAAATAGTTGGTCAGAAAGACCCACAGATCTGACACTTACCCCACTGACTGTCTTCTTTAACTGTAATAAAAGGGAAAACCATACAAAAACATGAGACATAGCAGCCAGTGTCAACTAAAAAGACAATGGCATATATGGCATTCATAATAATAATAAAAAAAATGGCTTGTGATGTTAAAGATTATGATGAAAGAAATCATATTAGTTTTTTTATTTAACAAAACAATTAGTAGTTATGCACAAAATTATTAGTAATTAGTAAATGGCTGTTTTAATAAAAGGAGTCATTTGTGACAATGCACAAGCTGTGGTGACTTCATTAGGTACAACCTGGTATATTTAATCGGCTAATCATCAGCAAGTCAGTAGGTATGAGCTTGTATACATGGACTTCAGAATGACAAATAAATGTTGAGTTGAATTATTCAATGATTGTTTGAATTAGTATTTAACAAACAGATGAGAATTGTGCAAATAGCAACAACAACAAAAATAGGGAAAGGGCAGCATTTCTGTATGGGTCTGAAAGGGTCAGCAGAGATTGGCCAGATGGGATGATGACTGAGATAAAGACACACTGCGCTGGTGCTGGACCTTTCTGAATGCACAATATGTCAGATGGCCACTGAAAGTTACTACTGAGTGTATGCTGAAGGTATTATGCTGCTCATTACAGATGAAGTGGCTCTCACAAGAGACAAACTTACTGATGGTTTCTGTACGTGCCGATGGATCTGCTGTCAAATCTACAAAATATTGCATACTCATATTAAAAAAAAAACAGTAAAAGTAGGCCATATAAATCTGATGTCCCCATATAATCAAAAATTAAGAATATTTCCAGTTACATTTCTGTTGGTTTCTTTAACTCTTATCAAATGTGTACTATATAAAAAAAAAAAACTAGGATTTAATGATCAGTGTATTACATGCAAATACTCAGTATGTACTTCATTCAAGAAGATTAATGGGATCCTTACTTTCAGGAGCAGTGATGTTTGGGCTGACCAATGTTGTTAAAGATGTTAAGCCTACGTGATTAGAAAACGTGGTTTGATGTAAAAAAAACTCTGATTAACGTGGCAGATAAAGTATCTGTGCTGTAATCTGTGTTGATGTGAATATGAAATACAATATTGAATTTGCTTACTTTCATGATCTGTGGTGATTAAACTGACCGTTGTTAAAAATGCTGTGCCTGATTAATTAGAAAACAGATTTATTACACTTAGCTTCAAAAGACCGATACAGCTATAATACCACGCATGTGCTCAGAAAGTGGATATATGGGCAAAACTTTGAATATGACAGTTTTCTTTTCCCTTCCATTATCTTCAGTTTCACATCTGCTTCAACAAGTAAAAAAGCCAGACATTCTTGTCAAAGCGAGATACTTTGTTTATTGTCACTATTTAATAATTACGTTTGTTTAGTAGGGGATGTTTCATTCATGTACTTTCAGATAGTTGGATCTGACATGAAACTTTGATGTAAATCATTTTATATATAGTTATATTTGAATGTACATGAACTAATGATCTGTTTTTAATTTAAATACTTGTGAATGGCAGTTGAAATATCTGTGTTTGAGATATGAAATAAGAAACTGAGTTAGCTTACTGAATTCAGGAGTTGGGCTGATCGTTGTTAAAGGTGTGCCTGTGTGATACAAAACATGATGTATTACAAAAGGTTTCAACAGATTAATAAAGCAACAATTTCTGTACTACAACACTCAGAGATTAACGTGTAATACTGTGTGTGCTTAGAGAGCTAAAGAAATCAGTTTATTTGGAATAATTAAAATTATAGTAAGAGCTACTAGAAACATCCAGACCAATTTCATTACCCAACATTTTAAAATCACAGTTTTTATATGTGTGTGTGAAAATAATCAGCTATTGCTTAAACAAGTTAACGTTTTCCTTTTCGACAGCTTATTGACTCTTTTTATAAAGAGTAGACAAAAAGGTACATCATGGATATACTGTAAGTGAGATAATGTAAAATAACTTACTCTTTGATGGACACTTCAGGTCTAAGTAGAAAAAAGAGAGAAAGTGAGCAAATGTGCAATTTCAAACATGTATTATTCATAACATTCTACTTACCAGTTTGTGTTATTTAGCTTGTTTGTTTTATAAATATTCTGGCTAATTCAATGCCTTCAGCTAAGTGTTGCCTTGTCAGAGATTTATGGTGGCCATTGTTCATCTTATGAATAAATTAAAGGTCCCATATTGTCAAAACTGAAATTTCCTTTTTTTTTTTCACGATTACTGAGGTCTAGGGGCTATTTAACTACCATATAAGTTTCAAAACAGTCAGTCCACAGTAAAATGCACACAGCCTGCATAAAGTTCTAGCTATTTTTCACAAACCATTGTGACTTCCGTAAAAAGTTGACGTCAGAACTACACAGTCACCGCCTTCAGTCACCACCCCGAGCACCGCCCACCGTCCCACTCTCCTTTTGCCATGAGGCTGTATTACGTCGATTCTGGCACCCAACATCACAACGAGATTATATTTTAAGCTCCTTATGCAGCCGAATCTGCGCTGGTTTGCATGGGCCGCCTCCAGTTTCCCCTTTGTTTTGCTTCCTCCAGCTAGCGCTGTGACTTGTGACCTGTGGTTGGCCTGGCCGTGCGTCACTCAGAACACAACAGGCCAATCAGAAGAGAGGCTCATGAATATTAATTAGGCAGGCCAAAATCAACCTGTTCTCAGCAGAGCTCCTGAGAAAGGAGCTGTAAAAATATATTGAGATGATTTTTGGTACTTATACCGCAAATATATATTCTTAAGGACATCAAACCCTAAAATAAAACTCCAGAAAGGTGTACAATATGGGACTTTTAAGGAAGGGCAAGACTAAAGGAAAAGGATAAATGATGAGGTTAAATGTCTATACCTGATACTGATCCATCGCAAGATTTTCTATACATTTCTCCAAAAGTGGCTGTGTCAATGCCGCGTACTGTGTAAGCATCCGTGCAGTTGAGATTTTCACAAAAGTCTTTGAATTTTTCATCTAGCTATAGAGAGAAATAGGGAAACCATGCAGTCAGAACTGAATCATTTTGATACTTGAAACAGAATGACAGAATATGGTAGAGTAAGCAGCATACTCACATTATACAGCATTATGTGAAAAGTTTGTACAACTTTTAATTTATCCTTGCCCTTATTATTTGTCCAGTATGAACAGAGGGTATTTATTACTGATAGAAGCTCATGTTCCTAGAAAAACAGTCAGGAAAATAATGTAACCCATAACCATAACATACAATTATTTAAACTAAAATTCATACCAGTACTGACAGAGAAATAAAGTTTTGTGGCTAAAGTTAATAAACTCATATATATATTGTGTATTTTTCTGTGCAATACATTTGGGATAACAAGAAACATTTCAACAAGCTAATACTGCTTATAATAACACAATATACAACTACTACTAATAACAATATTAAAAGTAAATAAAGGTAAATAAAGTTAATAAGTAAATAAAAGTCAGCTTATGTTCTTTGCTCTTACCTTCGTTTCAGGTGAGAACACCTTAATCTGAAACACGTGCTCTTCCAACATCAGCTCATCCTATGTGGATTTAAGAGAAGATACAGTATGTACATATTTAGGGGATCATGTACAGTCAATATATATAATCAGTTATAAAATAAATGGTAGCACTTTATTTTAAAGTCCTATTCAGCATGCACAGTAACTAGGTACTAACCCTAAACCTAACTCTAACCCATGTAGATACCTTTTATTATTCAGCACTTTCTTATGTAAGTACAGGTAAGTGCACGTACTGTAAAATAAAGTGTAAATAAACCCTAAAAAAAAAAAAAAAAAACTGACAACCTAAACAAAAACTTTTATTTTGGATGCAATTGATCGCGATTAATCATTTGACAGCACTAGTTCCAAATGATGCACAATACACTATGCTGACAAAGAACGGAACTCAGGAGGGAACTAAATAAGGCAAATAACGAGGGGCAGACAGGTGAAGGGGGTTAACCAATGATGAACTAACAAGAACAGCAACATAACCAAATAAGGAAAAACAGGAACTGGAAGGAACTAACAGAAATGGACTAAACTAAAAGTTCATAACTGTGACAATTGTCTAGTGTATTAATTGTCTAAGCTTAATTTGTCATCCAGCATTAAAGCCCTTCCCCCTCCATAAGGAAAGTGCATAAAGTGTCCAACATTCCACACTTTTTTTTTCTTTTTTTTGACGAAGTGCACTTTTTCTTTTTGGAATTTACAATGTGAACTCACTGCTCACAGTATTTACACTAAAAATGGCACAAGCATGCAAATTTGGATGCACCTCAATTGTTTTTTTTGTTGTTGTTTTTTACATTTGACTAAACACTCAGACGTCAATTAATGAACATTTTTGTCTCACAAACCACTGAAGAATTTGTATTTTTTTTACACAATATTTGGGTCAGTATGTTTCATCATTTTGGTGTAACAAAACAGATAGACACAGTGGCCCTGCATGGGCCCGGCCCTTGTCCAACAGCTTATGAGAATTCTCGGCCCGAGTCCAACTGGATACCGTGACTTTTCTCTCTCTCTCTCTTCCCCATTACACAGCTATTAAAATAGTTCAGTTTTGGTTTTTAATGGCAAAGTGGTCATATTTCTTTTTGTTTCTTTATTAAGTTAATTTAGAAATATGTTTGGAACATTTTATGTTTGTTAAATTCAAGTTTTTGTTTTTTAAAGGAACGACCAAGCGGCAGCGGCAGACAGTGAGTTGAGCATTATGTTTGATCAATTTCTCAAACCAACAGGATTTGCCTAAAATAAACAGACATAAAACACTTCATGCATTTCACAGTATTAATTTAAACATTTAACCTATAAATGAGCGCTGTTAGGCGCATATCCAATCATTTGTGCGGAGAGTGGAATAAAGCACACTCTGCAGGACATGGAGGCGCCAGTGCGATCACTTGCATTTTTTTTTTTAACAGTGGAAACTTAAAAATACACCAACATTTTTGCTCATAAAGGTAAGCGTATACATCATTTGGAACTGCAAATTGTCTACTTGTATTTGTGTGCACTCACAATATCAACAAACTGGATACCTTGACTTTTCTCTCTCTCTCTTCCCCATTACACGGCTATTAAAATAGTTCAGTTTTGGTTTTTAATGGCAAAGTGGTCATATTTCTTTTTGTTTCTTTATTAAGTTAATTTAGAAATATGTTTGGAACATTTTATGTTTGTTAAATTCAAGTTTTTGTTTTTTAAAGGAACGACCAAGCGGCAGCGGCAGACAGTGAGTTGAGCATTATGTTTGATCAATTTCTCAAACCAACAGGATTTGCCTAAAATAAACAGACATAAAACACTTCATGCATTTCACAGTATTAATTTAAACATTTAACCTATAAATGAGCGCTGTTAGGCGCATATCCAATCATTTGTGCGGAGAGTGGAATAAAGCACACTCTGCAGGACATGGAGGCGCCAGTGCGATCACTTGCATTTTTTTTTTTAACAGTGGAAACTTAAAAATACACCAACATTTTTGCTCATAAAGGTAAGCGTATACATCATTTGGAACTGCAAATTGTCTACTTGTATTTGTGTGCACTCACAATATCAACAAAACCTTGTGCTTTTGTAAAATAAGGAAAACAAACAGGATGCGCTTTCTGTCGTCTTGGTCTTGAGCAGGAGCGCATCACTGACATGATAAATATATCTATAGAATGCTTTAAATTACAATTTTAAAACGAAATAATTCAAATCGAAAACAAAAACTCTTTCATTGTGTAATCCATGCATTTCTCTCTAAAGGCACGTCCAATGAGGAGATGGCGAGTCACAAAGCTGCGATTATTGGGTGGCTTGCATGCTACAAATAATTCAATAATAATAATAATACAATAATAATGGACTTGAAAACTTTCATCATCATTTCCAAGCATTAGACTAGACCGTAAATAAAACAGCTTGTGAATAGTCACTTTTCACGTAACGTTATTTACTTCAGAAAAATCAACAATAGGGCCTAAGTTAAGTTAACCGAGTTGGAGCCCATAACGTTTGGGGGGGCCCGTGCAATGTTTTTGCATATGGGCCCTGGGGCTGACTCGCTATGCTACTGGATAGACAACAGACAGATGGACCCCCTCACAAACCTATGCACCCAACTGCTGGTTAAACTAACCCTGCTGCTTTATCTGTGGCAGACTGAATCATTTTATTTCATGTCCTTAGAGAAAACTAAAGGGAATCTTTCTGAAAATAATTAACCACATTCCTAGCTATGCATTATTGCAGACATAAAACATTGGCAGGTTAATATACAACTAAATATACTAAATATACACTTACGTAACACATTAAAATACATTATACTCAATATCAGCCCAGGTGGCATCTGCAAAACCAAAAAAAGATGCTAAAGCTCTTCTCAGAACAAACTTAACATTTCCACTCTTTCAATTAATTTAACCATTTTTACACTTTTATAGATGAATGAAGCCAGTTCTCCTCAAGTTCACACAAATGTCCTGGTAGAATAACCACTACTTTATTGAATTAACAATGTTCAACAAAAAATAAATGCTAATTGTTCTGATGTTTTGATATAACAAAGACATTTACATATTATGTTAACCAAGCCACTTTTAGATTGTACTGAATTCTGTGTAGAATTACTAACAGAACTAAATACATTTTCCCACTGTCAAAAAAAAAAATAAAACACTTAGATGTAAGAATGATAACACAGCTACATATTGTGAGATGTTAGCTGTTATGGACATATAACATGACTTAACATTATGGCAGTAACCTCTTTTTAGAAAACACTTAAAATTTGCACATTATTGCAGGATGCTTTCCCAAATTAAAAATTCAGAAATGTGTAGGATGAAAGGCAACAAGCCTCAGATTTAGTTGGGACGATATGGGCAGAAAAAAAATAAAATAAAATAAAAAAAAAAAAAAAAATCGCAAAAACAATGAGGGATAGACTCACCAGATGTGCCTTAATGTCTTGCTTCATGCACTTAGACTGGACATGGTAAACATGGGTGATGAATGAAATTGCCTATGAAAGAAATGACAAAAATCAAGTCCCACCTCTGGACAACTGTCATCTGAAATAATTAATCTTATGTTATGTGTTTTATGGAAACACTGTGTAGATTACTTCTCGTAAAACAGTTAACATGGGCTATCTTTAACAAGGTGCAATAAAAAAAAAAAACTGCAGCCACACAACACCTCACTGAGAGGCTTCCAAGGACCTCCACTAATATATTAGCAAAGACTGATTATAACTCACAGTGATCAATATCCAGACTTTCCCACTCATTACGGTGCTTTGTTAAACATCAGAGTTTAGCTCCATAAGCCACGACACTTTGCCTTGCTGGATGTATAACATAGGGAACACACAAGAGACCGAAAGAGAAAGTATTTAAGAAAAGACAACACCAGTGAGGGATCATATCATTATATCATAACAGCAATATTTCTCAAGTGTTGTCAGAAACAACATAATAATTGGAAAATAAACCAATATACTCAAAAATACATTAGTCTGCATTGTTCCTTGATAATCTAAAATCGACAATTAGTTCATTCTGTAATGGACTCAAAAGTTTATCAGTTTATTGCTTTATCCAGGCAAATGGATTATTAATGTGTCTATTATGTCATGCTGGCAAATGGATCCACCTAAATAAATGTGTAGCACACACACACACAAAAAAAAGTGGCCTTCAGTAGATTTTCACTTCAAAGGGATAGTTCATCCAAAAATTACAATTCTGTCAGTAATTACTCAGCCTCATGTCATTCCAAACCCGTAAGACCTTTCATCTTCAGAATACAAATTAAGATATTTTTGATGCATTCCGAGAGCTCTCTGACCCTCCCATAGACAGCAACGCAACTACCACGTTCAAGGCCCAGAAAAGTAGTAAGGACATTGATATAATAGTCCATGTAACATCAGTGATTCAACCTTAAATTTTATGAAGCTATGTGAATACTATTTGTGCACAAAGAAAACAAAAATAATGACTTTATTCAACCATTTTTTTTTTTACTTTTGTGTCAAGTCGATGCACGTTCACAAGAATACCACAACGTATGCGTGTGGTGCTGCTGATACAGGAGCCGGCGTTTTTGGGTGAACTATCCCTTTACACACACAGGGCATGTAAAACAATAGCAATGAAAGTAAATGTTAATGGTATTAAGAATAGTAATGTTACTTAACACACAAGAGACTGGTAACAAAAAACAGTTTATACCCAATTATAAGTCTTCTGAAGATACCAGTCAAGAATGAAAATAAGTTATTTTAATAAATACTATCTAAATACCTTTAAAGATAATTAAAATCTGTATGGACAAACGTATGCGTGTGTTTAGGTGTGAAAAATAATCCTATAAGCAGGATCAGTTACACCAATACTTCTAGAGTAAAAAAAACTGAGTCATAACCAGAGGAGGACTGGCCATCTGGACGTTCTGGAGAAGTCCAGAACAGCCGTCGGCCTGGCTGGTTCATCATCAAAGAAAAAGTGTCAGATTAAGTGACGTTGACGGCCGACAAAAGGGGCAATCTATTTTTGCTTATAAGAAACCGAAACTGACGCGAAGGAGAGTGGGCTCATGATGGCAAGCAAAAGACGTGAAGATAAAGGCGGTTGGGAGAAGGTAAAAGGAAAAAAAGCGAACAGTTACATCAGGTTACCTTTGCATGCCTCTCTCACTATAGAGCATAGTAAAATCCCAGGTCCGAGCGTCCACTGCTATTTATCACTCCACATTGTCTGGCATGAATATTACATTCATTCATAAAGAAACAGCAGCGATTCTATGACGGGTTACATTTGGTTTTTTTACTCTCAGTCCGTCCCTGCGCATAACCCTTTACTCTGTTTATTATATGTAATATATATATTTATATATATACACATTATAATTATATATTATAATATATATATTTAATATATTTGTAATACCAGTTCTTACTATGTGTTTCCAGATCCCTACTATCACTACCACTCGCAAACCATGCATCACACACTGTAGGCAGCTGGAGAGATGAAGCGAGGACTCAAGTGCTGGATGAATGGTTCTTTCTTTTAATAATAAAATGAAAAAAAAACTAAAACAACCCCGAGGGGGAAAAACAGACAGGCAGGCTAGGAACTGCACTACATGCAGACAT